TGTCCTGCAGATAGTTTCAGTTCAGACTCTGTACACATGCCTCAGTACATTGACCTGTAATGGCATCTGCTTTGATTGCATTTTGATTTTCGTGTTTGGTATTTCAGTTGCTGCTAAAGTGTAGCAGTGTTTCCTCTTACGAGAAAATTAAACGTGTGCACACACACTTGCCAACTTGTGTATTCTGTTTTGTCCTCAGACTTTGTTTCCAGGAAAAATAAGACACTACTAGCCTTCGTTTTTACTTAGCTTTAAAGATTGAACATTAGTCAGCAGTGTGCCCTTGCAGACAAGAGGGCTAATGGTATCCTGGGCTGCATTAGGACTCCTGCTAATGCTGAATAATTCTTTGTTGCAGGTGGTATGGTCAAGAAAAGGACTACAATGTTCTAGTTATGGATCTTCTTGGTCCCAGCCTCGAAGACCTATTCAACTTCTGTTCTCGCAGGTTTACGATGAAAACAGTACTTATGTTAGCAGACCAGGTATGTACAAATCTTACTGTGAGGAAGTTAAAAACCCTAAAGTATTTTGTGCAACGTGGTTCTTTTAAGTGGGTTAAATAATGTGTTACGCAGTGTTGTATATAGCTAAGTGAACACTTGGCCTATATAGGAACAAAGTAATGGTGGCTTCTGTGTGCTGTGGCATACAAAATCAACATAGGCCTGTAGTGGGAGGGCAGTGCAGATATCCTTGCAGCATCAACTCTTTGATCAACTCCTTGATGCTGCAGATCTAACAAGTGCAACTTTATTAAAGTATCGAGACTAATATGGGTGGATTAACTCCCAGTATCAGCCATGGGGGGGGGTGTTAGCAGGTCTGAAGCAGTCTCCAGTTACGGTTGATCTGATTCAATGGAAACCTGTTACGTGCTGGCCAGCCGTAGTGACAGGTGGGCAACATGCAAGTCTATGGGTCTGTTCTTACTGAATGTCACTATGTGCTCACAACCTCCTGTAACTTCTAGTACCAGACCATGAACTAATAAATACTGTTTTTGTTGTTGTGGTGCTTAAAGACAGTTCTTAAAGCTGTTAGTGGAGATGCCGCTCTACCTCAGACTTAATCAAGACCTCTAAAACTGAGGTCTGTTAAGTCTTTTTCTAGCAATTGATATTTTTTCAACTTGGCCATGAAAGTACAGCATTTGAAATGGCCAGCCATATTTATTTCTTGCTGTTTAATAAATAACTTGATTGTGCTGTCTTCAGCTACTTGAAAGGCGGTAAGGGTTTCACGAGTTTAATTTTCAATGGTAGTTTAAATGTCATCTAATATTACACAATTGATGTTAGTACCAAGTTGTCACTTAGCCAGATGCTCGTAGAATCCCAGGCTCTTGGCCAAGGAAGCTCACGGCATTTGTATGGAGACAAGGTCAGCTGTTCCTATTCTCAGCTGCCTTAAGTGAGTGGTGCGCTTGCTTGAGAGCGCCATTTGCCTGCTCAGTTAGCTAGTCTGGGTGTTACAGCATCTCCAGGGAATCTGTGTGGTTTTCATGCAGTATTCCTTTGGATGATAAATACTAATTAGTTGTCATCTGGGAAACATAGACGGGATGTATGATATCAGTGCACGGAACTGGCTTTTAGGGCCAGCAGAACAGCTGTCAAGGGTATGATGTTGTAATAATTCAACTCACTAAAGACTGCGTGAAGAGTGTTTTAGTAGCTGGAAAGCTCTGCCACATAAATGCATGTGCTGTGATCTCACGCACAGGAAATCGCATGACCGTATATGATGATACAGATGTGCCAGAGTTTCTCTGCGGCTTCATTGCTGACTGTTTTCCTGGATCACGGTAGCCTAGATATGACAGTATGGACCACAATCAAGTTGTTACTTGCTCCGTGAAAACTATTACCTGGAAAAGCGATGCTTGATGATGAATGAATAACTGGGACAGGGGGAGGGAATGAGCTTTGTATTTAATCTGCCATTTCCTGACCAAGACTATGGAACTTTAACATATAAAAAAGATAAATTTATTTGAACAGTATAAAAAAAAAAAAAGACTTGGTTTTCATTAAGCAAAGATATAAACTTAAGTTGCAGAGGAAGGTAACACTAAAAATGCTTTCATTGAAGGTTTAAGTGAATTGTATTGCTGTCATTGAAATCTTACCTGTTTTGTTGTTGCTGGTTTTTTTTTACAGATGATCAGTAGAATTGAATATGTGCACACAAAGAATTTTATACACAGAGACATTAAACCAGATAACTTCCTAATGGGTATTGGGCGTCACTGTAATAAGGTTAGTCTAATGCTCTTTGTTTAAAAGATCCAAAGGGAATGGCTATGTTACTTGATTCAAGCTGCACAACCTTTTTAAAACTCATTGCTAAAACTGATGTTTTGGATGCTAAACCACGGTTCTCTGTGAGAACTTGAATTTCTCAGTGTCTGCTTCTAAATGCAGTGGCATACACATGTGGGTCTCTGACCCACCCTGTGGGATGCACTTGCTTGCAAGATGATTTCTAGGCTTGCAACAAGATTCTAAACTAACCCTAGAGAATACTTGGCTACTTTTCTCAATGATGGAGTTTCGTTATTGAGATGACTGTTGTAATCGCATTTTTTTCCTCAATGATAAAGTCAAATCTTATCTTTGGCTTTGGGGCTGACTTCCTGGGATGAAAAGAATTCGTGCCAACGTGGGAGCTCCTGACCTACCAGTCATCAGGGCATTAAATCTTGCAGTGACAGACTGGTAAAGAGAACTCTTCAGCCATCAGAATTGTGGATATGACTAATAGCCAACATGTAGATCAATTGTCTGTATAAATAAATGAAATTATGCAAATATGTTGATGGAAAACTGTTAAGTTGTAGAGTACCCGAATGTGTTGTACAACAAAAAACTGCTCTCAATTTATTTTGTGGGGGGAAAAAAACAGGGCCGGGGGGCGGGCTAAGGTGGTTGCACTTGTTTGGATGGGTAAATGTAGTCAGAAGTGCATGTTTCCTGTTGAAAACCTTATATAGAAGAAAACTTTTTAATTTTATTTTTAGTTCTCTTGAGTGAAATATGCTTAATCCTGCAATTTGTGTGTCGAGCTCGGGCAGACAGGCAGCATTGGCAATGCATTAAGCATGCTACTTAATAGAAATTAACTTCAGGACAAATGTACGTGATCAAGCTGTTTATTGGAAGCAAGATTCCCACTTATCTTCTCTATATGTCATCTGAGAATGTCTCATCTCTTTAGGCACTACTAGTATTTAAAATGTTTACCTTTGTTTGCCTGTATGAATGCCAACTTCAGGGCCATGAACACTAGAAGGGGAAAGCTTGATTAACATGAGATAACAGCTCTTGTCTGAAGAGGTGCAGTGCACTGAATGTTTAGATACAACCATTGTTGGAAAAGCTTGTAAGTCCAGCTGAAAGGCAGTCTTTATGTAATCCTGTTGCTGTTAAACTTTGCTTGTTCCCAAGTTTCATACTTTCACTCTGTAGAGCTCTATTTTTCTCTGCTGTGTCGAGCAGTTAGGCTCCTTAATTTTCTGGCATGACTTAGAGTATAACTTGAAAACTTTAATTTTTTTTTTGTAGTTTTAGTTTCTGATTTCCAATTGTTCTTTTTGGGCCATTTTTCTATACTTTTGCACAGTCATGCTAGGTTGGCATTGCTGCACTCTTTCATCTTGATGTGGATTAATGGCCTAGAAATTGCTGCTGTGCTTACTTTAGTGGAGGAACACATTAGATTTGCATAAGCTGAAATGAAAAACAAAATTGCCTGTAAACTGTTATATTTTTTCCCATTAGTAGACTAGTTAGGGAGCCACGCAATTATATGGTGGTAAACACCGTCTGTAGGCATGGGCTTCTTTACTGTTGCAGGGGTTTAGAGATTAGGGGGGTAGTTCTTGACAGAAGTGCAAATTAATAGGTTTACATGAGCAAAATGAGGAATGGGTTGCTTCTGTTTGGAACCAAGTGCTTTATCTAGGGAACACTTGCCACCATACAGACTTTGTTTCTTTTTATAACTAAGTGTAGTTTTGGGTTTTTTAGAGATGACTATGCACAGTTTAAAGAAAATCAGCCACAAAGACTAGAATAGCATGGTAATCTTGTTCCAGTAGCTTCCTGTCAGTTATATTTTTAAAGAAAATTAAATTGATTTTTTTCAAATTTTAATTTGGTGATGGGGAGAAATTTTGCTCCCACCTTAAAAGATGAATTTTCAGCTCTGCTAGAAATAAGCCCTGCATGCTTATGAAAGTAAACTTTAAGGTGACTAAATGCCTTCTACCTCTTCCTTACTGAAGATTTACTTTTTCTAAATGTCTCTTGGGGGAAGGGCAGTTTGTGGAACCAAATGATGCTTTTGTAAGCAAAACTTCAATTTCCTTTTTTAATAGAGCCAAATGTCACCATTGCTATCCCTGGTCAAGGCAGTGCCATTTTGGAGTGGCTCACAGTTGAAATTTACCTTGTCACATCTTTCAAATTTTCTCCTTGGAAAAAAAAAATTAAAAAATAAAAATACGAACATACATAGTTTTTTTTGAAAACTACAGTGCTTGGTGGAAGAAGGATGGCATTTGGCTACCCTGTTCTTTCTCGAACGCCTCGGTGTTGCCTGTCTGCGCCGGCCATTGTTGCAATGTAAGCAATACTGTTTGATGCACTGCCACCCTCTATTGTTTGTTCAGTGTTTAGAATCTCCAGTGGGGAAGAGGAAAAGAAGCATGACTGTTAGTACTTCTCAGGACCCATCTTTCTCAGGATTAAACCAGGTCTGAACTGTCTCCTATTCCAACCTCAACCCCAAATTCATGTGCTTTATTTTTGTTTTGTTTTGTTTTTTTTTTTCCTGGAGAATGTAGACCTTGCAAAAGCACCTCTTATGTTGGCATTATTCAGACATACTTGGCAAACATGTAACATTACTAAGATGTTTCCCTGTGGCGCTTGTTTAAATTGTGGAATTATTTCTAAACTTGATATTAAAAAGGGCTAAATGTACTTGCTTGACTTCAGATGCAGAAGCAGGTTTTATTTTTGTCCTTGAAAACTCAAAGGCAATCTATTGAATGTGTTGAAGGATAGATGTGCCACCCCAGTGAAATAGCAGGGCTCCTGTATAGGGCTGTCTGCTTGCCTTCCTGTAGGGTTCCTGCAGTGTCTTTCAAGGCATGTGGAGAAGTTCTGTTATCGCTTCAGCCAGACTCCTTCCCTTGCAGTTTTTGTTCAAAATCTTTCCAAATGTGTAATGAGGACTCTCATATTTTCATTCATTGTGCTTATAAAATGAAGTTACTCCAATAAGCTGTGTCTTGGAGAAGCATGAGCTTATCTTGTAGTGTTAAATGTAGTACTCCTGACTCTTTAAAAAGAGAAGATGAATTGGAGGGAAATGAAGACATATGCCAGTTCGTAGCAGGACAGCTGGAAATTGCTGAATATGAATCATAGCTCAGGAGTTTGGCCATAGAATCAGTCTGTAGCTTTCCACAATGATAGTCTTCACGTATTAAATCCCAGGCAGCTAGCTGCTGTATGCAAGCTGACAGGCTTCTGTTGTCTGCTTCTGAAACTTTCTTATCAGTTGAGGCAGAGACTTTGATCTACTTCTCTAGTTGCTCTTGGCAAAAATCTTGCCCTTTTTCTCCAGTTTCCTGCTTCATGCAACAAACAGAATTAAGGTGGTATGAGGTTATCTGTGGGAATACATCTGTGTTCCTCCTGTCTGGCATCGGTACATTCTGTGCTCATCCAAATCAGGCTGTATCTTCCAACTTAACTCTTTGCAAGATGGACTTAGTCTTTTGCCTTCCACCCATCTAGAATGGGAAATACAGAATGAGCCTAAGCTAGGGAACAGAGTAAACTTCTCCCAAGAAATCAGTGCCATAAAATAATATCCAGTTACTTGACTAGCGTAAAATAGGTATGTGCTGCTGAATTTATTCTTTTTTTTTTTAAGAGGTTCTACCCATACCTCTTGAGAGAATGCAGGATTACCTTGTTCAGGTCTAATATCGAGAGGTTGTAGCAGTTGTGGAACAGGCAGAGCATCATTTACTTTTATAACTCTTTTGAAGAAAGTAGTCTTAGCATGTCTGTGCTAAACAGGGCTAGATACCAGCTGTTTATGTATTAGAGACACACTTCAGTGTTAGCTAGTTTGATTGATGAACTATGACTTTGTCCCTTCATACCATTAATTAACAGCAAGATCCCCAGGATTACAGAAAGCACATGAAGACTTCGAATTGTTTGAAGTGTTTGTAACTAAATGTGCAGTGAAAATATTCTGACTGATGTGTATAGTGTTTGGTTTTCCCTCCTTCTCAAGGCATAGTATTTTGCTTAAACTAATGGGCAAAGGCCCTGCAAAAGTAGCTATTGCAAACTATATGTCAGAGGCTGTCATCTGATCAGAAAGCTTTAATCAGAAAATAAGGGATCGCATTTGAGCTTAGGCTTTGCTTCTAGGAAAGTTGCATTTGCAGTATAGTAATCACATAGAAGCTTTATGCTGTCTGCTTTAGGAGTTTAGTATCAAAATTGCTAATTTCCTGGTAGCTAGAGAACATACCCATGCTCACTAAGTGAGTAACTACCTCTAGTGGTAGCTGTGGCGGGTGCAACAGAGACAAGACCCCCACTTCCCTGAACTGTCTGACCAGTGTAGTTGATTTTAAAACTTGGTTTTAAGTCCTCTTGCTCAAAGCATTCTGGGCTTCCAGAGTGACTTCCACTAGAACAGCAAATGTAGAACTGCTGTGCTTTGTGGTTGCATATAAATCGTGGCAAGATTTCAACTCAAGGTTTTCTGCTCTGACATCAGTAGTTTAAGAGGTTTTTAGCTTTGTGTTTTCCTGTCTAGACTACCAGAGTTAAAAATCTTCTTCAACCAGAATTCTAAAACATACCTACCGTGCAATTCAGAAACTTTCGGTCTTTGGTATCTTTGATACTTCCATGTTGAGTGTCACTTTATAATTCACAGCACTTCAGTGTACCAGAGTGACCCTTTGTTTCAGTCTTGAATGCAGGTATACCTGTGTATCAATCTCTAGCACTTGCTTGCATTTAAAGCTGCATCTTCTGTTCTGGAATCACCTTTAAGGTGATGAACCTACTGAATAGGTTTTTACTGAGAATTTCTTGACCCTTATGTCTTCTTTCCATCATCTCCTTCCCTCACCCAAGTTACTTTTGCAGTATTCATTAATCTGTAGGGGTTGTAGTCCCTGATCCTGTAGCATTAATCCAGCATTAGAATAGGGAGTTCAGCCTGATGATTTGTAGCTTGAAGACTGATTGCTAGAATTTGAAATGTTCCTTGCGTACTTCTGCCTCAGCTTTTTTTGCCTAGTCCTGAAATCTTGTTGCAGGAAGGTATAGTCTGTATTAACCTTTGTAGATAGGCTGGCTGTTAGCACACTAATTAGCATGCACTCAGTCATTGGGCAAGCTTGGTTATTAGAAACCTAAATTGGATTCCATGTACTAGGCTCTAGCTTCCTGGCTGTATTAATATCATCAGCAAGTGTGTCATGTTGCTGTGATAGTGTTCTGGTAGTCTTAAAATGAGCGTATGATTGAAAGCAAGATGTCTTGTTTGCTGTTGAAGGTTTCGGCCTTATGCTCTGCAGAATGGCCAGTATTCTTTGAGACCTAGAGAAGAGTATAGGATGTGCATCATTTGCATTAAGCTGCTGAGCTGCCATTAACTGTCTGTATGTGTAAACTGCTCTAGTGTGAGTGGGTTTTTGTGAAGTGTGCTTTCGCACATACTAGTTTCCTTCCTAAATTGTACACTGTAGTTATCGAGCTAATGTGATACAAACTACAATAGTAACATAAAATAGTTGTAGAACTAAGCTACAGGTGCTGAGTAGCCAATCTAATCTATTCCATTGGATTGAGAAAAGGCTTGAACTAATTCCCTATTAAGTTTTTGAACTGGCTAGTTAAAGCCAGTTGTGACTCTGCACTGTTACTTTGCTTCCTCTTAACTGTAGGCTGTTACATTGTGTGGGTGTCAAAATGTAGCTAATGCCTAGTAAAAGAGGTTGGGGATTCCTTGCACTGTATAGGAATATAATCTATTTTCATTTTTCTTTAAGTTATTCCTTATTGACTTTGGTTTGGCCAAAAAGTACCGGGACAACAGGACAAGGCAACACATACCATACAGAGAAGACAAAAATCTCACTGGCACAGCTCGATATGCCAGTATCAATGCACATCTTGGCATTGAACAGAGGTGAGTTCAAGGAGGTTACTGCTGCACTTTGGAGGCTGCAAGATGATCTTATTTGTAAGCTTCTGGAGTGTCTGAACTAATTTTATATGAGTAAGTGTATATATCCCTTTGCAAGTGCTTTTCTTTTTGGCTGCCTGTTCAAGGGTAGGGTAAAAAATCCAAGCACCTAATTTGCTTCTTGAAGAGAGTCTAAGTCTTGCAGGCATGAGGTGGATGTTCTGCATACTGTTTTGTTTTTTTAAAGGATAGGCTATACTTCCCTGTGGATCTGTCAGAGGACCTTCACAAATGAAACGGTGCACTTTCCTGATTGTGTTGGTACCTGTTGATGGCACTGCTGACTGGCTTGAGATGCAATTCTGTAGCCAGAAAGGGTATTCTAAAGCTGGTGTCTGTGTCCTGTTTTCTCACTCTCCCTTCAAGTTAGTGAACTATTGTTTATCCTTTTGTCTGCAAGCAAGACTTAAAGATCTCTTACTTCACTCGCACTGTATTTTGGTTTCTGGTATACACAACCATAGTTGTGGATCTGTATGTATATATGTCTATGTATGTGTATTTATATGTTTGAGCTTTGCTTAATCAACAAACACATTTTTTATCATCTGGATCAAAAGCATATTGCTACTGCAGTATCCTAGCAGCGGTCCATTGGAGATAGCACTTTACATTGTTTGGAAGTGTATGTTAGGTACTCATGAGATATGAAGTGATGCTTCCCTTCTCTTCCTTACCTACATGCCTAGATGTTGTAATGTGTAAGTGTAATAGTGTGGCTTTACCACATGGTGCTGAGGTCACTTAGCCACAGTTAAAACTTCCGTGAATGCCTGTGCCTCTGACCTTCAATTTAATCAAGATGGGAATGACAGAATTTCTAGTGGTCAACTTCAACTGACCATGTAACTTAGAAATATTTGGTGCTTTAAAATGCTTCATGTTTCTTCTTTGCTTTAATTTCTTTAAGGTTCCTTAAGTGTATTTTATTGTCAGTGTCATTATCTAAAGCCTGCTTGACATGTGGGTCAAGTAGGGTAAATGACAGGTGTCATTTCTGAAGTACATTTCATAGAACCCAAGCCATCCTTGTAAGGGAATAGCTGTGCTAGCACCTTACAGTGAAGGGAGGGAACTGCAAAGGTCTATCGCTTTTGAAATTAGTTGGAGGTCTTGTATCATCTCTGCTTAAACTGTCTAGATCAAGTTAACAGTGAGGCAAACAAATAATATATTCCTGTAATCAAGAGAAACCAGTCCTGAAGCTTATGGCTGAATATGTCACCTGTTAGTGCTGTACTTTAACTGTTAGAGAACACATTTTCCTATATGTAGTGACAGCTATTCTTGGAGCTGTTTGCAATGTTATCCATTTCTTGTTTTAGTAATGAAGAGTATTGTCCTGTTTTCCAAATCCTGAAAATCATTTTTATCAGTATATGCTCAAATGTAATATATCCATTACAGATCTACAGAGCTAAATGTTTCCTACTACAAAATTATGAAATTAAGTATTAAAACAATTAACTGGATGGGGGGTGGAACCTATTAATCCCTTTATTGCTTCTGAATTTACCACTGCCTTCTCAGAAAACGTAATTTTATGTCACGGCCTCATACCGGTTCAGTGAATCCTGTTGATGATTAAAATCTGCAATTCTAATACAATTAGCAAGTTTTGCAGGCTGGAATTTGTGGTCTTAGTATCATTTTTCATCCCTCTGTCTTTGGCTGTGGTTTCATGTTACAGCTGAGATGACCTCAGAGCTAGCTGCTGTCAAGAGGAGTGAACCAATCTTATCTTCCCTGGCCCCTGGGCACAGCTAGTGCTTTTTTGGCCTTGTGGTGAAATGGCTTAGGGAGCAATGCTGATATTCTTCTGGGATAGCTCCCTGAACTGGTTCCCCAAAGGGTCAGAGAGCTGCAACGTGAGTTGAGGGGGTGACAGGCATGCCAGTCCGGTGATTATTAGTGTTTATATGGGGTTGACTGTAACATAAAGCATCACCTACCACTTCTTTCCTCTCATACCGAGATCTGGAGGTAGATCTGTCCAGGTTCTTACAGATTGTTCTCATTTAAAGGTAGCTGTTTTACCCTCACTCGTATGTATAATCCTGTTTGCAATACTGCTCTCAGCCTTTTGCTCCCTTGTAGGGGTAGTAGGTGCATAGTCTTTCCTGTGACCGTTTAAATGCTTTTTTTGCAGATCTGCTTGGGTGGCAAAGTAGCAGCAATACTTGTCAGGTTCTCTTGATAAGGGAGCTGGGAGGAGAAAAATAAGTTATTTTTCTGTCTCATGATAAATAGATGTTAGCTGCAGAGGGGCAGTCAGAGGAAAAATCTAATTCGACCACAGCTGGGAAGAGGCAACTTTGCCAAGAGGAAAAAAATCATGGAGCGTTTTTTCCACTTCAGTGAACTGTACTAGCCTCAGTAATCATGAAAGCTGTGTATGATGGTGTTCATGTGGCTGAAGTGTGGATCTGGAGCATATGCAGTACAGAAAACATTTGAAGCCTTTTAGATGAGAGTTTGCGTGCAAATTGTCGGTGAAGGCTATGGATGCATAACTTGGGAGTTCTCTAGCTGCCTTAAAACAGAATTCTTGTGGGAAGAAAGCAGAGGCACCTCTCAGATTGATGCATGTACCTTTCTAAATATTGCTTGTCTTTTAAAAATCATGGAGGCAATTCAGGGTTTTTTAACAGAAGTGAAGAAAGAAGGGAGTTAATGCCCTTTTGGGGATAGATGTTCAGTATTGGTCCCAGACTGAGGCAAGGTTCAGGGAGAAATCTTCCTTAATGAAGTTGAGGCTAATGTCATGTATCTCTCTTACAATGCATTCTGTGGTTCCTACAGGTAAAACTTTAGTTTCTATCCAAGCTACTTAATTAAATGGGAAAGACGTTTAATGTTTCACTCTTTATTTTCCAAAGTTTTTGTCTCCCAAATTATTCTAATGTAACTACAGATGGAAACTTGCCACACACAATACCTACTGACTATTTCTTGCTTGAAAAATGAATAGGATCTCCTTCCTGCTTGTGACGACTTGTTACATGCCTGCCAGTGGAATCCTGAACACCTAGATGTCTTAGCTGTATTAGAAAGAGACCTTCCTTTGCACCAAAGCTTAGGTTTTATTCCTTAATTTTTATTTTTTAAATTTTGGAATGCTTGCACTATTTGGAATGAAGTATGAAATGGCAAAATTTGTAATTCATTGTGTTCTTCCTCTTTCTCCAGTCGTCGGGATGACATGGAGTCTCTAGGCTATGTATTGATGTACTTTAACAGAACCAGTCTGCCTTGGCAAGGATTAAAGGTAGGTTATGTTGCCTTTTCTTTTTCCTCACCCTTATTTTCATGTTTGGGTATCGTGCTTCTGCCTGCTGCTCTGGATAGGTGGTTGTATATGATGTTTAGCTTCACTTACACAAAGCGGCTTTTCCCAAGGCATGCTATTTATAGAATGTAGAAGAAAGGTTCTTTCTGCTTCTTGTGCAGCAGGCAAAATGTGTATTGTTTGACTGTCTTAAAATTTATGCTAAACAATAGCTTATGTCATCTTTGCAAATTATTATTGTCCTGTTGTAGGCTGAGGCCCTTTTTGGGAAGTAGAAAATAACATTGCTAGTGGCTTTTTGAATTGCTGTAGAGAGTATGGAAATAATCTCTTGCCTAGCAAGTTCAGCTTTAGTGATATCTTCAGTCCAGTTTATGGCATGACTGAATAATTATTAGCTGCAACAGACTTGTTTCAAGTATTTTCATGTATTGGTAGCCAAGTACAAGCATGGCAAATATTTCTTATTTCTGTTATATAGACTTCAGTGATTTGTTTTCATGTTTTAATTGTTTTCCTTCCTCCATGTGAGAGTTGTGTAACCCAAATGGTGTTGCAGCTGCAAGTTTTCTAAAAAGACAAGCTGCTTGTAAAACACTAGAACTCTTCAGCTGCATATGAATGCAAATGGCTGCTTACTGAAACACGCAGGCAGCCCTTGAATGGGGTACTGAGTGGGAATTAATAGAACTTTGGCAAATGTAAATGCAAGTCTGGTCTGTTTAATGGACAAAAGCAGCAGCTAGAACTACACGAGCTGTGCCACGTG